TTGGGACTTTCCTCCTGAGATCTGCCTCAGGCAGTAGGTGCATTGCGAGCTTTCCCCTGTTCCCCAAGGGCACGAGGCACCTTCTCAGGCTGTGGTCATGTGGCCGCCAGGAGAAAACATTCCCAGGGTCCCAGCCACGTGCAGAGCAAAGGGGACTCGGGCACCTGAACTTGGTGGCTCTGGCTCCCCACCTTGTGTCCCATTCATTTGACAAACACTTTTGAAGGGTCTATAATTTGCCAGACATCGGTCAGCCAGGGTCTGTCCCACTGCCCCAGGCAGGGACCGCGGTCACGGCCATGTTGCACAGCTCACCAGGCAGATGCCTTGGGGGCTCAGTATGTGAGAAGTCAACGAAGCATCCTGGGGCGACCAAATACCCCGAAATAAAATACCCACATACAAGAGAATGAGGTTGAACCCACTACCGCTCACTCCATATACAAAAGTTAACGAAAAATAAAGTAAGACTATAGCCCTGACCGGTGGGGCTCAGTTGTCTGGGCATCATCCTGCAAAGTGGAAGGTCGCTGGTTCGACCCCTAGTCAGGGCACATGGCCAGGTTGTGGGTTCGATCCCTGGTCAAAACGCATACATACAAGAGGCAACCGACTGATATTTCTCTCTCACATCGATGTTCCTCTTCCTCTCTTTCTCCCTCTCTTCCCCTCTCTCTAAAAAATAAATAAATATATATTTAAAAATTAAGTCTACATATAAGAGCTAAAACTATCAAACTCTCAGAAGAAAGTGCAGCCATAAATTTTCATGACATTCCTTTGGCAAAGCCTTCTTAGATATGACACCAAAAGCACAAGCAACAAAAGAAAAAACAGATGAATTGCACATCAACAGAATTAAAAATTTTATGCCTCAAAGGACACCATCAGGACAATAAAAAAGACAGCCCACAGAGTGGGAGAAAATCTTTGTGAATCACATACCCGGGAAGGGACTTGCATGTAGAATACATAAGGAATTCTAACAACTCAGTAATAAAAAGACAATCCAACTGAAAAACAGACAAAGAATCTGACTCTGCAAAGAATATATAAAAATGGCCAGTGAGTACAGGAAAAGATGCTCAACATGACAAGGCATCAGGAAGATGCAAAGCAAAACCACCGCGAGACCCCACTTCGCACCCATGAAAGTGGCTAGAACGAAAAAGTCGGGTCAGAGCAGGTGCTGGCGAGGGCGTGCAGAAGCAGAGCCCCCCTAGGCTGTCGGTGGGGATGCAGGATGGTACAGCCGCTGGGAGAATCAGCCTGGCAATTTCTCAAAAAATGAAACGTAGAGTACTCATAGGTCCCAGTCATTCCACTCCTAGGAAGGGAAACAAACGTCCACACAAAAACATGCCCACACATGTTCATAGCAGCATTATTCAAGACAGCTAAGAAGTGGTAATGTCCACGAACTAATGAAGAGATAAATAAAATGCGGTACACCCACATAACCGAAAAGTATTTAGCAACACAAAGGAATGACGCACTGGTCCATGCTACAACACGGATGACCCTTGAAGACATTATGTAGATACATGTATCTATGTGTCTATATAACATATGGGCAGATAAGAGGCCACATAGTGTATGATTCCATTTATACGAAAACCCCAGAACAGGCAGAGCCACAGAGAGCGGACCAGTGGCCGAGGGGAAGGTGTGGTGACTGCGGTGTCGGCGGGTTCACTGCTGGGTGAGAGAGACGGACCAAACTTGGGGCGCCGATGGCCGCGCAACTCTGTGACTGTCCCAGGGACCAAAGACGTGTGCACTTTGCCTGGGTGGACGGTATAGTCCGCAGATTACAGCTCCGTAAAGCTGTTACTAAAAAATTATGTGATAAAGACCCTGGGCAATCCAGAGGATTTGAGAATCTGAAAACTTATGATCTGTGGTCAGCAGGATAATGGCTCTATAAGGCTGTCTAGTCTTTAATGTCTGGAACCTGCCTGTCACCACATGGCAAATGGGACTTTGCCGATGTGACTAAAGGGGGAAACTCCGACCTGGGGAGATTATCTGGGATGGTAAGAGGTGCCCATCTAATCACAAGAGTCTTTAGAAGGCGGAGGCCCTTTCCCAGCGGGGTCTGAGAGGTGAACCTGAAAAAGAAGGAGATTCGAAGCACTTGACCTTCCAGGGCTGACCTTGGAGATGGAAGCTGGCGGGCCATGAGCCAGGGAATGTGGCAACTTCCGGAAGCTGGGAACAGCCCTCTGCTGACGGCCAGCAAGGGAAACAGGCACGTTAGTCCCAAACCACAAGAACTGGATTCTGCCAATACCCAACTGAGCAAGAGAAGGGCTCGCCTAGGAAGGAACGTGGCTTGGGAGCTCTTGGTTTCAGCGCATTGAGACCCATGTGGGATTTCTAATCTACCGGGCTCTAAGATAATATATTTGTGTTGTCTAAGCCACTGAATGGTGGCAAGTTGTTATGGCAGCAATCGAAAGCCAATATATAGCTACTTCATGTAGACTATATAAAGCCAAGCTTTAAAAAAAAAAAAAAAGAGTGCTGAGCTTTCTCATGTCTGGGGAGGGAAAGATCTACTTGTGGCTGAAAACCCACGACACCTGCTCTCCCCCTCCCCACTCAGAGCTGACTTAGTGAAAGCTGCCTGAAAATAGAAGCTCCACAGACATCTCTTGTGAGTCATTCATCACTCTGGGGCTCGCTCTCCATGTCTGTGAAGCAGGCGCTTACCCGGACTTCTGCCCACCCTGCGAGTTAGGAAGACACGCCAGATCTGCTCCCAGGAGCCTCCAGGGAGCTCCTGGGCAGGCCCAGCTCAGGCCACAGACCCTGCGGGACCTCACTCCTTCCTCTGGCTTCCTTCAGAGCGTTTGGGGCACACCTGTCCCTGGCCGTGTGGCCTGGAGTGACTGCTGTTGGTATAGAAATGAGAAAAGCTTTAGGTCGGCTACGGGGCTGAAGCCAATGACCGGGCCCAAATGGATGAGGCTTCAAGATTTTTGTTGATTTTGGGGTCAATGCCCTCACACTGGAAGGGGACCCGATTGTCTGCATGATGGAGAGAAAGCAAAGCAAAGGTGCAGATCGGAGAAGGGGAGGAGGCTGAGATTGCGCAGTAAAGGTGGGGGGGAGGCCGGGGAAATAGAGACGCCTCGGTGACGTGGGGGAGTGGGAGCGGCGTGGGGGAAACGGGTGTGACGCCGCAGGCTCCTTTCCATCCCTCCTCGGACCCCAGCCCGCCAACACACACGTGAACACACGTTTTCTGAACGAGCTGGTTACAACAGACGGGCTTGGGGATATTTTTAAAGGTGCCTGAACACCACCACCCTTGTGATGAGTGCGCAGGGATCTGAAAAGTTTGCTGATCTCCGTCCTGGGCGCCTGCCTTCTCCCACCCGTGCCTCCCTTGGCCTGGGGTCACATAGCTGTGTGGGTGCGTGGTGCACCCAGGGCTACGGGGCGTGGGAAGGGAAGGACTCTGGACTGAGAGTCCTGGCCTCACCCAGGCCAGCTTGGCTGCCCCTGCCCGGACACCCCTGCTCACTTCCGGGTGTGGAGTCAGCCCGTGGCTCCCCAGCCTCTGCACGGGTCCCACCCAGGAGGGCTGAGCTCCTTCCTGAGTCCCTCAGGCCACTGAAGGCCCCCAGGCGGCCCTGGCCTTGGCGATGGGGGGCCCAGCCCCCCGGTGGCTCCTCAGCCTTCCTGGAACCCTCTTGCCCAACATCCTGTGTGGTAATCTAGCCTCTTGCCCCTACTTAGCTCTGCTGGCCACTGCCAAGTTCTTTCTGTTGGCCCCCTCTCTCCACCTCTGCTGGAAGCTCCATGAAATAAAGAGCTGCCACAAGTTTCCAGGTTCGGGTCAGAATCCCTCCCTCCCTTGGGTGCCTGGTGTTCTTCAGCAGGGATGGGCGTGCATTCTCCTGTGTCTGGGGGGGGGGGGGGGGGAGCAGGAGAGGAGACAGAGTGGGAACGGGGGATCTATGTCCAAGAGGTGGTCCCGGGTGGTCTGGCTGGCCAGTGTGGGGTACCCCTGCCTTAGTTAACCCAAGGTCACTGCGGGTCTGCTGAGAGACAGGAAGGACTAGCTCTCTCTAACGGCCTGGGCCCCGTTGGGCGCTCCCACAGCGCAGCAGGGCTGGGAGAAAGGCGGGCACGGGGCTGCTGCGGGGGCGGGTCAGGTACTGCCTGAGAAGGGCGAGGGGGGTGGTGCAGGACCAGCGCACCGCCCACGCCATCCGCCGAGTGCGCTTTCACACCTCGGTGTCAGCCCACAGAGAGGGCCTTCTTCCCCTTTGCTGCCTTGCTAATAAAGCCACACAAGTGCAGGCTACCGTTTACCGAGCACTTTCCGAAGGCCTGGTAATCCCGGGGGCAGGTACCCTCTCACTGCCCTCTGGTACAGGTGCAGAGACTGGGTATTAGAGATGTAAAGCTGTCTGGTGAAGGCATGGCGATAGCGCGCTCTCTGACCCCTCAGTCAATACTTCCGGGTACGGAAAACGGGATGAGCTAAGCCACTCAACCAGACCATTGACCCAGGGGGAGAAAAGCAAGGCAAAGTCTGGGGAGGGCAGGGAACCTGTTCCCACAGCTTGTGCCAGATTCTGGGGAGGAGCCACCAACCAGGGCCCCTGCCCGCCTCCTCGGCACAGCCACTTCCCTTGGCCACTTGCGCGTCTCAGAAGGCAGCCGCTACGAGGCACTGCAAAGCCCCGTGCGGTTGGGAGGGAGGACCGACAACTCGCTCGCCCATTTTGCCCCGGAGCCCAGCGGATCTAAGGGAACCAGGAAATCTTTCCGGAGGCCCCGCCTTCTCCCCGGACAGCCCCGAGCCAGGGGGCGTGGTCTAGCCTCGGTCTCCGCCGCCGCCTCGGTCCCCGCCGCCGCCTCCGCCGCCGCCTCCGCCTCCGCCCCCGCCTGGCGCTCCGGGCTGGTTCCGCGGCGCGCGCGCGCGCGCTTCGCCTGGGGCCTCACCGCGCGCGCGCGCCCGGGACCCGGGGACATCCCCTGCCTGCGCGCGCGGAAGCCGCCTGTGTCTGAGGCCCCGGGGCGCCGCGCTTCCGGGCAGGGAAAGGGCAGCCCGGCTGAACTTGGCCTCACGCCCCCCGCCCCCACCCCGCTCGCTGTCCCCGGTTCCGCTGGTGAAACCCGAGCGCGCATCAGGCGCGGGGCCGCGTGACGCGCACCTGTCGGGTCAGGCCAGGCCCGCGGAAGAGGATGCGCGGGGCCCCGGCCTGAGCCCGGGCCGCAGCGCCCCGCTCATCGCGCCGCCCCGACGTTTCCCGGAGCAGCAGTCGGCTCTGATGGCTATGACGAAGTAAGCTAAGCTGCCTGTCCCGCTTTTTCTCCGGCCCCTTTGGCCACGGGCATTCGCTCTGGCCGGATGGCGGCTGCGCGCGCGCGGGGCCGAACCAGAGGTCGGTGGGTCGGGCCGCCGGCCCGGGAGGCCGGCCACGCGGCTGTTAAACCCGTGGGCATTTTGTAGTTGGGGAGAGTCACCTTCGCTACTACCCGCCAGCCTGCAGCCGCTGGGAACCAGGCTGGGCCAGAGCCTTCCCGAAATCTCCTCCCACCCTCTTTCCGCAAAATAAATTGTTCATGTCCACCTCGCCCAGATCTCTGGGCACAGGTTCTGTTTGGTGGTGGTTCGGCAGCAGGCAGCCATGCCCGTAATACTGTGAGGCTAGTCCAGAGGGACCAGTGGGGTCCCTTCCTAGGCTTTCTGGAATTCAGTCCAATGGGAGTAGGAAATCAGTGCTCTTGTCAAGGGATCTGCTTAATCTTTGGCATTAACCTTCAGGTTTCAATCAGCGTTTCCAATACACCCATCCAACGAATGGTTTTCCAGAAGTAAACCTGTCCGGGGCTCTGAAAATCAGCTCACTCAGATTTGAGTGTTTTGCCAGAAATGAGAACTGGAAAAAATCATAAGCCTGAATTCTTTGCACCCCGCTCCCCTACCTCGCGCCCCCGTCCCTAGGCCAGTGGCTCATGAAACGTAGCAGATGAGGGAAAACGGGGAGAGTGGGCACATTTTAAGTTGTTCTCTGCATTCTCTGCAGCAGTGGGTGGCTGATAGAATCTCTGAGCTTACAAGGCTAATCTTTTGGTATGTTTTGGGAACACCTGAGAGAAAAATGTGCAGTGTTTGGCCTGAACAGAGCTCATTTTTCAGAGAGCTTTTGGTGCACCTGTTTCTTTGAGGTACATGACTGCTCAACAGATAACCACTCTAGGCAAACATTCCTCAGTTGTATCCAAAGCCTAGAGTTTACTAAGTTACTCTCATAGATGGCTTTGGGCCAGTTTAAAGGGAAACTGTTCAATCTGTGGGCAAGGAAATGGAAACCAAGAGGCACTTTGGTCATCTGTGGCCTGGCCACTTCTCACTTTATTGGTGGCATCTGAATGAGTGCCATCTCAGGTCGAGAGCCATCTCAGGTCGGCAGACCTCACCTGGAGACCGGCAGGCTCTCGCCCCAGGGGCAGAGCAGGGAGCCTGGTTTTGCTTTTTGGCTGTCCAGCAGCGGGAGCCAGGTGGCTGTCTGGGAGGGTTCTTACCATGGTCGCCTCCCCGAGTACGATCATAGCCACGACCTGGGTTGCTTTTTCAGCCAAGGGTAAAAATGAAGCCATGATCCCCATTTGCAGCTGGAGAAAAGGCTGTCCGCGGCGAACCCCAGGGCTGCAGAGTGAGTGGCTCACCTTCCTGCTGTGCCCTTTGAGCCAGAGGATCAACCCCTCAAAGGCTGGGTGGGCGCTTTTTGACCATCTCAGCATCGTATGCTCAGCAGCCCGTGCTGTGGTGGGAAGGTCAGGAAGCTGTCCGGGAGCTGGCTGTTCTTGGCACTTCTTCTGTTGTGAGGTGGTTAATTGTTCTTGCGGCTGTTCCAAAAAGTGAGCAAGAAACGTCCCTTTGCTCATGATGCTGTTGGTTTCATAATAATTGGAGCTAACATTTCTTGGGTGCTCTTATGCCAAGCACCGTGCCAAGTGCTTTATATGGAGTGCCTCATTTTGTTCTTATCGATTTGTTTTCCCACTCTGTGGCCGAGGCACGGAGAGGTTAAATAACTGGTGTAAGGTCACACGGCTACCGTGTGGCCGAGCAAGGATGTGAACCTGAAGTTCTCCTACTTCACCGGTTCTCTAGAAACTGGATGGACCTTCCAGGTTTTAACAAAACAACTCAGGCTTGAGCACAATGTTTTCATGATGTCAAAAGGGAGCAGGAGAGTGAATCACTGTTAGGCCATTCACAGCAGTTAGTGTTCAGGGCACCCTGACCTCAGAGTGCAGAGCTGCCTCCCGACTAGGGTAGCTTAGGCAAGAGAGGTTGCCTATCTGTTTAAACCCCTGACGTTGCCTTCCTTAGAGGAACAGAAGGGGTGCCACCCTGATACAATGTTATACATGCTGCCATTGGGGATTGTGGTCTGGCCTTCCGGAGGGGCGGGGAGGCAAGCGCTGGAACAGGTCTGCCTGTATTCGTGACCTGTCACCTCTCCAACTTCAGTAGGTTATTTTACCTCTCTGTGCCTTAGTTTCCCCTCGGTGCATTCTAAAAATAGGGATAGTAATAATACCTACCTCACAGGTTGTCACATGATGCATGTCGAGCTCTTAGCCCAGCATTTCATGTATAATTTAATACTCTATAAATATCTTTTATTATTAATAGTATTGTTACAGGTAGCCAGCTGCTGCTAATGTGTACCATGTCACCATGCTTAAAGGCACCGTGGGAGGTTTCTTCCTTTGAGAGCTCAGACACAGGTGACAGTGGTCTTGTGCAAATGGGGTTTATTTGTTCCTTCAGCAGAGACTTACAGTGCACCCTCTGTGCGCCAGGCCTTGTATTGGATACGGGAGATACGCAGTGAACAAAACCCAGAAACTTCTGTCTTCATTGGCAAGTACATTCCTGAGGGGAGGGGTCGCAGACAACAAACACCATAAACGTCCGTGTCACACCCAGTATATTAGAAAGCGATAGATACTATGGAGAGAGAGAAAGCAGGGGGTGACAAGTTTACAATCTTACGTAGTCTGCCAAGAAAGCCTCCCTGAGAAGGTGACATTCCAGCAAGGCCTTGAAGCCAGTGAGGGGCAGCCTGTGTGGACACGTGCGGGGAGAAGTAGGTCAGGCGGAGAGAAGAGCCAGCACCAAGGCCCGGCGGCAGGAGGACGGGCGGCCGGAGCCGAGAGGGCGGCAGAGAAGCTGGGGAAGAGAGGAGAGCGGCGCTGGGTGGAGGCCAGCCTGTGTAGACCCTGCAGGCCATGGAACAGAGGAGTCACATGATCTGACCCCCCCCCCCGCCCCCACGGAAAGGTCGCTCCAACGGACTGCTTGGTGCAGGGAAGGAGAGAAACGGGAGGCCAGCGGGGCGGTTTCTACAGCAATCGGGCGGAGGCGGAGGTGGCCTGGACAGAGTGGAGTGGCGAAGGCGGGGGAACTGGGTGTTTTCTACATTACTGTCAAAGATAGAAACTGTAGGGTTTGTGACAGATTGGTGACCCCAAGGTTTTTGGCCCGAGTGCCGGGAAGGAGAGAGCTGCCTTTTGCTGAGAATGGGGAAATCTGCGGCTGGAGCAGGTTGGGAGATAAGTCAGCTTGATTTTAAATGGGGAAAGTTGTAGACATGCAACTCATGGTGTCAGAGTAGCAGCCAGTGGTCTGAGTGTGGAGCTTAGGGGGAGAAAGTCCAGATGGGAAGACCGACTTGGCAGGGAGGCCAGGCGTGCTGGTGAATGCGGAACAACCAACCCTGCAGGAGCGGGTGGTGCGGGAGCGGGGCCTGGATGGCAGCACTTGCCAATAACTGCTGTGTAAACGCTACTCGTGGGCCAAGTCCGAGCACATGTTACAGAATATCTTCATGTTGAGCATGGCTCATAGTAAAATGTAGCAAAATAATTAGGAAGTCATGAGTTTTGAGTATGTATTACCTGTGTGTTTTAATATCAGTTTAGCTCTAAGTTTGTAATGTTTGGTTGTTGATAATGGCTATGCTTAACAAGTGGCTGAAAAAGTTCCTGAAAATGCAGTGACTGAATCTTATGTGCAGGGACAGGGTGGCTCCAGTGCACCACCTGAGTCTTTGGGACCCAAGTTGGGGAACCTGAGGAGGGGATGGGAACGAGGACTCTCTCATATTAGGGGAAAGGGCCCTGGAGCCAGTTGCACCGCGCCGTCCCCGGCCTGGCCCCGGGTGGGTCGTTGGTGAGGGACTGACTTGCATGTGCAGAGGCAGCGGGGCGGGGGTGGGGGGGCCACAGGTGGATCCCAGCACACGGGAGAGAGAGCAGCAGAAACACCTGAGCTGGCGATTGGAGAGGAGGCGTGGCACAGCCCCTTGGACTTCAGTTGAAAGGGATCTTTAGTTTCTCGTTTTACTCCTACACATTCTTTTAAAAATTCCAAACTCCTGGGCTGTGATTTGAAGAAAGCCTCCCTCCTTCCTGCCTGGCAAACAGAAAGCAGGAGTCAGGGAGCAGGGTGGCCGCGGCCGCTGACCTTTACCTCCCGCTCCTCTCCGCCCCTTGGCTGCTGGGAACAGAGGACCGGAGCTGCTTCCGCCTCGGGTGTGCCAGAAGCTGCTGGCGCGCTGGCACAAGCTGGTCCGTGCTGGGCCTGGGCAGGCACGGCTCTGTGGGTGCCCCCTTAGCTGCCTGTCACTTGGGGAGAAACAAAGACTGGAACCCGATTCTGACCCAGATCCTCTGGCTGGCCAGTGTCCGCAGCTTTGCGGATGTTAGTAGAGCCATGCTCCAAAGGTGAGTCCCAGGATGCTGGGTAGGAAGCCCTGAGTCTGGGGGGTGGGGCGGGGCGTGGAGGGTGCCTGGCTGTGGACATGTGCCCCGTCAGGAGGACAGCCGCTGCACCCCGAGGGTGTCCCCGTGGCTCCGTGCTGTGCAGTGCAGTGCCGTGTGTTTCCAGCACGTGTTTCAGATGATCACTGTTGTGAATGAAATGGCATCTTCTGCCACTGAAGCTGTAGTTTCAAAGAGCTTTGTCTTAACTCCTGAATAACTGTTACCAGCACATTGCTTCACATTTCAGTCCTACATCTCTCTCCCCTCCCCACATTGGCCTGCGGCTCTAAGCACTTAACCGTCCTTCTGGAAAGGTGGTGGGTGTCTCTCAGATAGTAGGTAGTTATCTCCTTTCCTTGGGAACATAGGACCTAAGGGCAGGAAAGGTTGGCAGTGGTCCTTCAGCTCAGTCTCTCCCGTGGGCGGCTGAGCAAGGGCGGTGCAGCCGAGGTAAAAGCCTCCTCGTTCAAGGTGACGCGGTTCAGCTGCAGCACCTGGTGAGAGCCACCACATATTCCAACTCACAGTGTGACACTCTGCCCGTCCTGTCCCGAGCTTCTCCACCTTTCCACAAAGGGTTTCCTGTTTGTTTATTAAAAAGAGAAGAGATTGGTAGCAGGTTCAACAGTTAGAACGTTCTGTCCGTGTGTTTGGATAACTGCAAGCACGCAATTTTGGAAGATCCCTCTCCCAGCCCGTTCCCTGCAGGGCGGGCCAGGAGGAGGGGGGAGAGTTTCGGAAAAACCTCCCAAGGTAGAGCCTCGCAGGGGACGTGCTGGAGCCACCTGGTGTCCCTGTTTGTAGAGGAAATGTGGACCCAAACTGACTAGGTGACTGAATGAGGTCATGTAGCGGGGAGGTGGTGTGGAGCCCGGGTCCCGTGACCCAAATGCCGTGTTCTGTGTACATGGGGACGCAGGCTTTGTGACTCAACAGTTGACTTCACCTACAGTTTTCTTATTTGTAGAATGAGCATCATTGCAGAACAATTCTTTCCCAAGATGGGTTCGGAGAAAGAGTGAGGCAGTGCATTTAAATCCTCTGCGCACAGCGCCTGCATGTGCAGAGAATTAGTAATTCCTAAACATTAGGAATTACTATTGGGCTCAAGGTGGTTAGCAACCAGTTTGCAGGGGGGAGGGGCCCATCGAAACCAATGGAGGCCGTTGGAGAGGTCTCCGCTCATCGGAAGCCCTTTGCCTTGGTGAAGGGAGTGAGAGGCAGGTGCCGTTTGAGTCCCATGACAGCCATTGCTGTAGACTCTTCGCTCTGTATTCCTGAGTCTCGCCCTTCAAAGTGTGCTCTTCTGACCAGCTGTCGGCCCCTCCCTGGACGCTCTGTGTCAGAGTCTGCATTTCAAAGAGATCCTCAAGCGATTCAGATGCACATTAAAGCTTGAGAAACACCGTTAAGATTAAGAAAAAATGGTAATAAACCAGACACAGGCACACTGCCCTCAGGGGTTCAGGAGGGAGCTGCTCCCTGGAGTTGAGCAACCCCAGGGTGAGCAGCCTTGTTGCAATAGCTGGCAGCTCCGATGTGCACTTGTGTAAAGGTGTTCTGGGGACATACGCAGGAGATAAGGGGGTCTAACCCGGGACTGGGAGCGGGAACAGGCCTGGTCAGGGGAGGCGGAAGCAAGACCTCCCAGCCAGGACACGATTAAGCAGAGGGCTTTTTGCCATCGTCGTCTGGGGTGGAGTGGGCTGGAGGTCCCGGCCCTTGGGGGCCCCTCACCTGCCCACCCATGTGCCCTGAGGTTCTTGAGCTCCTTCCGCTGCTTGTACCAGGCTCCTCCGGAATGAACCGACCCGCCTGCCACACTCCAGCCAGGAGCCGGAGACGCAGGCTGCCAGCTGGCGGCTGCTCCCTCCCCAGGCTCGCCCCTGGGCCCCGCACTGACCTTGCAGCTTTTCCTTCCCTCCAGGCTGGGGCAGTTGCCAGTTAGGAAAGAAATGCTTGAAGGGCCAGGGACAGGGCTTGGAGAGCAGGAGAAGAAAGTGGAAGGGTCCTGTGGTCACTCTGGCTATGGGGGTGGGCACAGATGAGGGAGAGTGGAGGAGGGGCAAGGGGTCCCTTGGTCCTCCCATTAAAAGCTCCCTAAGGGGTACGTCCGGTGCCCTGTAGATCCTGGCGCAGACGCTATTGTTGGGTCCTCTTCTTGGTTTGGCTACTCACTGGTGCTTTCTCGGGGATGGGTCTCAAGGGAAAGTGGGGGAGGGGTCAGAGGCAGGAGGCAGACCTGGAGCCTTGCTGTGGGGGTGGTGTGGGCCTGCAGGGCCCTTCCGCGGCTCCTGTGATTTCTTCCAACCTCGCCTTTACTCTCTGTGGAACCAGATGATGGCCCCATCATTGAGGGTATTGTTCATCCATTACCCGGCAGGCGTAATAAATAGGTGCTCATCAGTCATCTTGGTCCTTCCTCATCCGCGCACCTCAGGCTGGGCCCCATTCCCTCATCTCTTTCCAAGACCCAGTCACTAACCATGGTTAATTCCGTCCGTACTTCCCTTTCCCTCGAAGCCCCAGCCTTGGTGGGAAGTTGGAGAAAGGGGAGCCACGGAGTAAAACCGAGCACATTAAGACTTGCAACCTCGGTCAACCAGAAGGCCGGAGAAAGCGAACCCTCTGGTGCCTCTGTGGCAGGTCCAAGGCCTCTCGCCTTTCATCCACATCAGCTGCTTCAAATTAGTCTGAAACCAGCCAAGGGGTTAGGCCCCACCTTGGGGAGGCCGCAGCATGCACTTGCTGTGCGGCGGCTCAGGAGCCAGGGAGGCTAGTGCCTGTCCGCCACCCCCCACCTTCTCACCAGGGGACCGTCACCTGCCTGAGCCTCAGCTGTCCTCCCTGCAAAAGGGTAGCTAGAATGGTAGCCACTCCACTGGGTCTTCTCAGAGTCCTGGCCGGCGTTCAGTGAGATCTGATGTGTATGTGCGCTCAATACAGCGTTTGCTGCTCTTGTTGCTTTCCCATAATAATAGCTACCACTTACATAGGACTTAATAGGTGGTAGGCACTGTCCTAAGCATATTATAAACATTAACTGCTTGTAACCTTGTAACAACCCTATGGGGTAGAGACCTCTGTTACTCTCATTTCAAGCGAGGAAACAGAGGTACGGAGAGGTTGTATAACTGACTCTCCAAGGGAAGGGTTGGAGCGGGGGTTTGGACTCGGTCACTTGGCTCCAGGGTCGATGTTTGTCAGTACTGCACTGTAGCAACGACCAGCAGTCATTTTGTGCTTAGAGCTCCGTGGACAGGGGAGGAGCAAACAGGGGCATGAGAGGAGGGGACCGGTGTCACTACGGGCCTGCCACGTTGCTGAGCTGCCCTGGTGGTCGGTCGGGCATCCTGTGCCCAGGGAGAGGCTGCCCTGGTCATGAGGTGGATAGCTCCGACCCCATGGCAGCCGCGTGGGCCTCCCTCATGCCTGTGCCACCTTCCCGGGCACAGTCCATGTTTACAGAGCAGGCTCCCTCCCCACTGGCTTCCTGGCACAGAAACAAGCTTCTGTGGAGGGAGGGGGAAGCTGTGAGACTCTTCCCGTTTTCCTGAGAAACCCGTGGCTGTTTCTTGCCAGGCAGGAAATGCTCGATAGCCTAGAAATGTGTTTGCCCCCGCATGGCAGCCACCTGGGATGTGTCTGATCCTTCCCTGTTCCTGTGTGTCTTTCCCAGGCACCCCGGGCACCCAGGCTTTCAGAAGATGCTCCCAGTGGCAGTGTGGGTGGCCCTGCTGTGCTGCCTGCAGGCCCAGGAGTTCCAGGGACATGTCTCCATAATCCTGCTGGGCGCAACTGGGGACCTGGCCAAAAAGTACTTGTGGCAGGGGCTGTTCCAGCTGTACCTGGATGAGGCGGGGAAGGGCCACCATTTCAGCTTCCATGGGGCTGCTCTGACGACCCCCGAGCAGGGCCAGGAGGTCCTGGCCAAGGTCCTGGAGTCCCTCTCCTGCCCCAAGGATGTGGCACCCGATCGCTGCGCCGAACTCAAGGACCAGTTCCAGCGGCTGAGCCAGTACCGCCAGCTGAAGACGACCGAGGACTACCTGGCCCTGAGCCAGGACATCGAGGCGCTGGTCCGGCGCGAGGGCCTCCGGGAGGCCGGCCGGATTTTCTACTTCTCGGTGCCCGCCTTCGCCTACGCGGACATCGCCCGCAGCATCAACAGCAGCTGCCGGCCGGGCCCTGGCGCCTGGCTGCGGGTCGTCCTCGAGAAGCCCTTCGGCCATGACTACCTTTCGGCCCAGCAGCTGGCCACAGAACTCGGGAGCTTTTTCCAAGAGGAGGAGATGTACCGTGTGGACCATTACCTGGGCAAGCAGGTGAGCTTCAGCTCGGAGCCTGCCTGGGTGGGAGCGAGCTGGGCACAGGTCGGCCCGTGGGCAGGGCCGCACTGCTCATTGTAGAATTAGACCCAAAGGCATGTGAGATCTGAGCTCTGTGGTCGTTTTGAAGGCGGGCAGGAGGACAAGGGACTGAGGACAAGCGGTGAGCAGGTCTGTGTGGCCCTTGTACCTGTGTCCCGTCCACGGCTTCGCAGCGGGGCCGGTCCCTGCTCTCTCCCCGGTGCCCGTTATCCCCTCTGGAGGCGGCTCCAAGCCCCTGGGAGCCAGGCCTGGCTTCCAGCTGGGGCTTCTGTGGGGATTAGGATGAACCACCTTATTCCATATCTATCTGCCTGTTCGGTATCTGTTTCCTCCTGAGTCTGTTTTGAACCAGAAGGCTGGCAACAAGATCTTAAAACTGAATAGGGACCCAAGGTCCGTGCCTCTCGGGCAGGCCCCGGTGGCAGAACATGGTCTGGTCACGCTGAATGTGCCCTTGAAGCACCTTTAGGACGTCTGTCCCCAGCAACGCCAGCAGAGAGCGTGCAGCTGTGCTGATCGGGCGGGCCCCGGGGCGGCCCTGGCTGCGGCCCTCTCGGAAGCTGCGAGATTCCTGGGGTGGTCCATAGGGTGGTGCCCGTCCTGGTGAGATTTTCACTTGTTTGTGGGAAAATGAAAAAAAAAAATTATGTACTAAATGTTTTCAATGTGAAGCTTTTCTTACTCCGTTTTTGGTGTTACAATATCTGTGATTAAAAGTTGATGGTAATAGATGATAGGTAATCTTAAATATTTTCTTTCTTGGCCAAATAGAAATCTGGTCACCCCGCGGAGGTCCCTTAACAGTGTTTGAGCCCTTGCTGGGCTGGGCAGCCCCAAAGGCCAGGGACTATGGCTCCAGGCGTCTCCTTGGAGCGGGGACTGAGAGGGCTGGGGCCCCTCCTGGGAGTCAGGACTCTGCTTCGCCCCGGGAGGAACGTGCGGCACAACCAGTCTCCTTCCCCGCCAGGCCGTGGCTCAGATCCTGCCTTTCCGAGACCAGAACCGCAAGGCCCTGGACGGCCTCTGGAACCGGCACCACGTGGAGCGGGTGGAGGTCATCATGAAAGAGACGGTGGACGCCGAAGGTGCGTGGGGGCCGGGCCTCGGCCGCTGCTGGCTGGCGTGCGGACCACGCTGCGGGCAAACCTGAGCAGCCGTTGCCGCCCTCTGGGAGCGGGAGGTCTAGCCAAGCACACTTGGCTCCTCCGCCGCAACAGCTGGCCCACAGTCAAGGCTGGAAGCTCACCTGAGTTTCCTGCGAGGGCGGTGGAGGCCCTCAGGTGACAAGAGGCCTCTTGCAGCTTTTGTACCTGTCCAGGTGGCAGGTACATCCCTGCACCTCTTGTCCCTCCCGTTCTTAACCCTCAGCTTAGCTGTCACTGTCTTGGGGAGCCTCTGCTGCGCATCCCGTGAGACTCGGAGTGCCACAGGCCTCTCTTCACTGCCCCTCCCAGTCTTCTTGATACCCCCGTTCAGGTGTCTGTCCCTGCAGACCGCAGAGCCCAGGCCACGCCCGCTCAGGCACCTGGCATGCACCTGGGAGTGCGCGTACCAAGTGGTGGCCTGGGTGTCAGAAGGCCCGAGTGTCAGGCCCGGCCCCGCCTTTGCCAGGGTGGCCTGAGCACGTCACTGCCCTCGTCCGAGAGGCGAGCCAGTGCAGTTGTGTGGGTGTCAGCCGCTGGGGCCCGTGAGCCCTGACATTCTGAGATGGTATCAAATTTGTTGAGCGTGGACTGTGTTCCAAGCAATAATAAAAGCTAATTTTTATGGTGTCCTCATCCCCCCCGGAGCCAAGTGAGGTGGGTGCTATTATTAGCCTCCACTGACAGATGAGGTTTGGTGATGTGCCCAAGGTCACCTGGCAGGAAGTGGTGGGGCCGGGGCCGGGGCCGGCAGTCTGGCTCCAGCCCTAGGCTCTCCCCGACGTCCGGCTCACTCGAGACCACTCCTGCAGCCTGGGAAGGAGGGTCGGGGCCTGTGCCCACCCCGCACTTTGTGCCCGGGCGGTGTGGGGCCCCCGACCCCTCAGGCCTGGGTGGGGTTGGAGGAGGTCTGCCCTTTCTCTGTGCCCTTTCCTCTTTTTTTTTTTTTTAATCTCTTGGTCACTCTCTCTAGCTTTCCCGCCCTTTCTCTTTGGATGTATGTGTAGAGCTAGAAACTCTCCAGTGAGACAGAGCGAGCCTCTGTGCCCTGATGCCTCATTGTGGGGAGACTATCTGGGGACCAACTCCTTGGGGCTGGGGATGTAGGCCGGGTGGGCGGGGGCAGTCAGGCCGGACTGGGAGAGCCAGGCCCACAGGGCGCTGCCGTCTGTGAGCGGAGCTGGGTTCCTCCCGTCCAGAGCCCAAATTGGAAAAGAGGTCCTCCCTGCAGTGAGCCTTTGGGGGTCCCAGGATCCCCCCAGCCCTGCCAGATACCCCCTGCTGTCCTCAGCAAGGGCCCAGGCCATGGGTCCCTTCTTGTGCCTGTGTACATCTGGTGTCCAGGCAGGAGTGAGTGCCGGGCCTTGGCTTCGCCACCTCTGCAGAGAGGTGAGCTGCAGCCGCAGCGCTGAGAGCGGTCGGTGCAATGGGAGGGGCCCCTGCCATACCTGCCGTGGGAGCCAGCACCTGGCTCTGCCTGGACGTGACCTTGGCCTGGTTATTGGCAGGGCTAGGCCGCCAGGACTCTCCCCCGCCCCACCTGTTTCTGGCAGCTCCTTCCTGTGCCCACCCTGGGTTGGGGAAGATCCGTGGTATCCGTAGATAGCAGCGGGCACCATGCCTCTTATTTCATCTTGGATCCGATGCCGTTTGTGGGTTTCTTTGCGGGATCCCTTTGTGGAGCCAGGGGCTAGGGAATGTGCAGCAGAAGTACTTTCGGGTTTTGGAGAAAGGAAAACAGAAGGCAAAGCAGGAAGACAGGCAGGGGCCCAGGCGCGTCTGGTTGTGAAGGCCAGCCTGTGGCAGGACGAGTCTCGGCCTGCACGGCGGTGGCCGGGGAGGGCGCTGCGGAGGCCCGGTCCAGCTGCCTGCAGGGGACGCGCTCTGAGAGGAGGGCCTCAGAGCTGCCCAGTCCCAGAGCACACACGGCTGCTGCGCTCCGGGGCGCCGTGCCTTCACCCTGTAGCAAAGAGACCTAGAGCAGGGCCAGCACAGGCGTGGGGGTGAGAGCCCACCTGCCCCCGGGGACATGCAGCCAGTGTGGGTGCTGTCGAGGGGCTTGCTCAGCCCACGGTCCTTGTCAGAGGTGGCCAGGAGGACTGCAGCTGTGCCGGGGGTGGGTCTCCCTGATGGCCTGCTTATTTGCCAGCTGCATATTCAGGCCCAAGACCGTGTGCAGCAGGGATGACTTCCTGCTGCAGTGCGCAGTGGCGCCTGGGACACCAGTCCTTTAGCAACAGAGTGTGTTCTCTGTCTCTATCTCTTTCTGTCTCCCTCTCCCTCTCTTCCTCCACCCCGACTCCCCCCTTAGACCCCGAAGGACCAGCATTCTTCACGTCCCCAGGGGGTGGCCTGGTGCAGCTCTGGTGCCCCAAGCACTGATGCTTGCTGTCCCCTCTGGGTCCTGCTTTGGACCCTGCAGCCATTGCATCGTGACCACTGAGCTCTGTGTCCAGCACATCAGGGCCTCGGCTCGCCTTCTCCCAGGGCCAGGGGCAGGAAGCAGGTGGGAGGAAGGACTGTCCTCACACTGGAGGCCACGGTGCCTGCCGCAAGGGGACTGGGTGTGGTGAGCAGGCAGGTTCTGAGCCCGCATTCTGACCGACCAGCCAAAGCGCAAAGTGTGGCTGGTCTTCTCTCCGCAGCCACCCCCCACCCCCGCCGCCCCGGCAGCCAGCCCCGGCTTTCCCCGCCTTCCTGGTGGTAGCCGTGCAGCCCCTGCTGGGTCCTGTGCAGGGAGGCACTGACCTGGTCCCCGCTGGCAGCCTGGACTGCCACACGGGCGCTGGCAGGGGAGGGGCTGCGAGCCAGGCCTGGAAAAGGAGCTTTTCTGCTCAGAGCTGCTGCAGGCCCTGGGAGAGGGACCTGTGAGCTGCAAGGTCACCTCGATGTCCCCACCCCCATGCACTCGCATCCACGGGGCAGAGGCGGCTTCCCGGCCTCCCTCCGGCAGGGCCGGGTGAGTGGTTTTTTCCTCCTTTCCGCCACAGCCTCTGGCCCAGGGGGGTTTGCTGCAGCATCGAGGCTGCTGCATGCAGAGCAGGGAGAGAGACAGACAGATAGACACAGGGAGGAGGAAAGGAAAGAGCCATCGTCCCGCCAGCCCCGCAGTACCCGGCTCCCTCTGTCTCATGTGGGGCGTCCTCCCGAGGAGTCCCCACCCAGCAATCCCCTGAGAGTCACAGAAACCCCGGGCCCCCGGGTCTCCTGAAGCAGCCCCATGGGCCATGCGAGGGTGACCTTGGCCAGGCCACCTTCTGTGTGCGGATGACGCCTGCTGGCCCCCGTCATGGCCTCTGGGAAAGGCTCTGCCGAAAGGAGGGCTGGGTCTCTAATGGACTGAGGTTCGGCCTGGGAGGGTCCCTGCTCTGATGCTGGGGAGGGACTGTGAGGCATGTTCCCTTCTGAGGCTTGGAGTGACTGCTCGGTGCCTCTCAACGGGGGACGAGGCCGCCAGGACCCTCCCAGGTGCACCCCAGCTGTCCTGCCTTCCAGCCGGTGTTCCAGAAGGGCAGGCCGCTCGCTCGGCAGGGCAGCTCCCCGGCCCGGCTGCAGGGCGGGTGCTGGGGTGGGGGGTGGGTTCAGCGCGGCCGCCAGGCTTCCTGACCAGCCGGCAGCTCTCTCCTTGGCCCGGCGCCCTTTTTATTTTTAGTGATCCTGGAAGGTATTGGTGGGGATTGCAACTGGCTTTTGTTTTTTTTTGTGCACGTATATTCCTGTTTTTACTGGGAAATTTTGGGTCTCTCAGAATGTGGAGGCAATGGGGATGGGGCTGCTGGTCCCAGGTCCAAAGGCTGTGTGGTCCTCAGTACATCCTCTATTACATGAGAACTGTCCAGAAGGTATCCAGCCATCTAATGTGAAAAATGGAGACATTTATTGAGGAAGATATAAGTTACAGGAAACATTGTACCTAGGACAATGACGTCCCAGTCCCCTCCAAAGTGGCACCTTGGGACCTCACACCGTTCTCCCAATCACTATCAGCTGCCTTGTGGTGTTTTCCTGAATCTCACTGATGGTCTGAAATCTCCTCCCCTTCAAAGGTGACTTTAGTTTTGGGAAAAGCCAGAAGTTGCAGGGGCTGTAGGGGGGCTGAATCTTCTGGGTGATTTGATGTTTTACCAAAAAGCTCTGCACGAGACGTGATACCTGAGCGGGTGCGTTGCTGTGATGAAGCTGCCCATCACCAGCTGCCCACAGCTGCGGCCTCCGAATCATCCGAATAGTTTCCGCAGAGGAATGTTCAAGCCTAGCACAAAATTTGATGGAGATTCATTACTCTATTCGCTCAGTCATTTTGAATGTGAGGGCCACACAGCGTACATGCTCACTCAACGTCATCTACCACGTCCCCTCTGACGGGTATGGTGAAGTTACCATTGTTCATGCATGCGCCTTCCAGTCCACTCTCCTTGGCTGCCAGGTTACTTCGATGCCTTACAAACCATTCTTGTTATATTACAATGGCTTGGCTTTTTCCAGACAGACCTTGTATAGTGATGATGACCCATTGCCGCTCTCTTGGCTTGTCTTGCGGGTTAAATCAGATGATGTACTTAGGAACACTTTACAAATGGAAATGCTGTTCTGCCTTCACGTTGCTAAGGGCAGGAAGTAGCTGCAGTCTCGGCCTCTGGACTCCACGTGACTTATGTGTGACTTGTGCTGGGCTATATAAAGACCTGTACTTGGTCTGTTACAGCTTTATGACCATTCTTCACTGAACATTCTCTCTCTCTCTTTCCCATTTAAATATATATTTACATTTTCATATATTGACAATCTGCATAATCTATACCTTTTAGTAGCTCCATATTTTTGTTCAGTTCTGCTCATACTGCAGAGTAGGAATTGTTCTGCTGATAGTCATTTTGGTTGTTTCTGGTCTTTGCTATTTTTGAACAGTACTTTGTGTGCTTTCAAAAAAAATTAAGATATAA